AACGTTAGAAAACAAAACTTCAAGAACACGGCCACACAGCCCGGAAGACCCACACCAGCCACCAATAACACATTTGTTCTCAGAGCAAATTTCTTCCAGAATTTTTCATTTTCTTCACTTTTCTATTTGATATACTTTTAATATAGTTTAATTGCTTATTTTTTGTTTCACACAGGGAAACACAGACCCTGTTCATGCACCTTCTAGTGTGCTTTTAAGATTTCATTCTGTAAGTGAATAGCAGCTTGTTGTAGTAGCAGCTTCCTGGTTTGGGCACAACCTTTTCCCTTTTGTGCCCTGGGGAAGGCCATACAGGAGACTCTTGTAACCACTGCCCCATGTTTACAAAACTGGCTCCATGCAATGTCTCTCTCGTGTGTGAGATCTACTCTTTAGAAGGAAATTCTTAGAACGGCAGTTTCTGAGGCTATTATAGCCTATTTAACTTCATCCAGAGTTCCTACAATGTCTGATGAAGTTGCTGGGTGCTTCTCAAACCTGTTTCAAGTTCCCTTTCTCCTGCTGGCAGTTCACAGGAAAATTATTCAATAATTTACCAAAATCTCCTGAAAGACCCACCCCAGTCAATCATGGCAAAAAAGAAGAAAATGAAAAGGGATGAAACAACTCTAATGATTCTCACACAAACATCCTAATATCGGCCTCTGTAATTGTGCATTTTTGCCCTGCTAATCTCCTTAATCTTTGTTCTGGCTGGCATCTCCATTGCTGCATTTGTCTATTCATATAATGATCAACCCTCCTTGAGTTAAAGATTCAGTTTTAGTGGAAGAAATCAGTGATGGACCTCCACTGAGGTTTTCCTCCCCACATTATCCTTTCAAGCTTAGGGATGACTCTGACCAGGAGTTTTCTCCTCCATCTTAAGTCTGTTGGGACCAGAGCGACTTCCCTTACAGCTGCCCTGCCTCCAGGGAATCCTGTTTCCCAGTTTCCTTAAGGAGATGCCCTCTCACCCGTCATCACTCTTTTCCATGACTGGGTATGTGATGATGGTACTGATCAATCCCCAAATGCTCCCTGGAGTAACCCAAGTGGTACAGTGGTTAGCAATTCCCAGCAGCGCTAGAATGATACATTTCCTTTCTCTAAGACCTGTAACAGTTGTTATAATATCATCTGAATTAGGATCAGTAGATATTGCCATCACATGTTTTGTCTGAAGTGCCCGTGCCATAAAAGTAAAAAAAAAAAAAAAAAAATTGAAAACAGATTTTCAGAATTATGTTGCTGCCTACTTTGCAATGAAATTAACCACTCAGTGGCCTTAAACATATCACCTGATGTACATAATTCAATACTTTATTTTAATGTTGGATATATAGCAGGAAACAGATGTGTCTACATGCCTATTGAAGTCTGATTGGCATGCATCATAACTGAATTGACAACATTGTAGAAATTTGCTTTCTCTTCCCTCCTCAGTACTTTGAAGATAGTAGTTTCTTCAAAGTACTTGTAGATAGTGAGATGTCATTAAAGATGAGTCAGTATAGTGAAAGCATCCGGCAAGCTTGCTGAAAGATGTAATAAGAGTCATTAAGTAATCTTCTATTCTTTATGTAGAATAAGCCAATCATCTGTGTAATCACTTCCTAGCAGTGAACAGAGGAAAAATGGGGGGGGGGTGAATCAAGTAAAGAAATTGGAAGTTGGCTGAATGAGGTGTTTCCTCATTCCTTTTTCTGTAACAACTGAGAAAATAGCTTCTTTTAAAAAATCTTCATAATTCTACTTCAGACTTAACAGAACAAAAAACTACAATAATCTTGTGGAAGGAGAAGATCAGTAATCCTGTTGAACAGGGATCAGTAATCCTACCAAACAATTTCATAGATGTTGCCAGAAATATAAGAGCGATATATCTAAGTTAAACACCCTCCCCCCCACCCCAAGTCTGTTAAAGTGTTTAGTAGAGCCGATTTAAATACAAAGCAGCCAAATCAAATTGCTCCTGTGATGGTACACTGTTGAAGCTGAGATTCATCTCTCAATTAGTTTAACTATGAAATGCGGTCTCCGTCCAAAATTTATGCCAAAGTTTTACACAAGATTTGGGTTGTTTTTTTTTGTTATTGTACTAATTACAAGATCTGTACATCTGTATATTTTCTAGCCATTGTAACCATAGACATTTCCAATGCAGGTTCCAAATAAATAAATAAAAAGCAGTGTTAGTTATATTTTCTCAGAACATAACTATTAGATTTGTATCATTTTGATTCCATGTTTAGTTTGCAAATACCTGTAAATTGCTTTACTTGTTTAGGATATAGGACCAGGAAGTATCTTATAGTAATGGTTAAGCTAATCAGGAAGTTGCTATTCTATGCAACTCTTAAGAAGTAAGCTATGATGTAATAAAAATCAAAACAGTCAAAGAGGAGCTTCAACTTTAATGGATTAATAGTGGAAGTTAAACGCTATTGGAATTCAGCCTAGATATAAAAATCTGTATGGTAATTGTTCAAAACAAGATCAAGATAATCCACAACTTAAAACATTTGCAAAAAAATCTATTTTGATGAAGTTGGTTATCATACTACAAAAGACATTGATATCCTAGAAGATCTGATTATTTCCCAGTCTTTTGCTTCTCTTTGTAGTCATATCCAGAACATGTGCATACCACCAGTCTATTTCAGAGTAAAGTAGAGAAAGCAAAGCATAGAATTAGAAAAAGCTGCCTTCATATTAATTGAAACAGCCTGAACAAGTAAATGACCAACAGAAAATTGATTGAACAGAAAGTCAGATGTTGTTGTCACTAGTACTGATGCAAACTTAACATTTTAGACCTTGGCTGGAATAATAGTTGCTGGAGATGTTGCAAGTTAAAAAAAAATCTGACATTCATGTTCTACAGTTAGCACTGCAGCCAAAATAGCTTTCTTGATATTATTTGTTGTTAGGAGGCTGGTACGCTACGTGGAGAATAATGTAATGTTCTAGGCTAGAGTTGTCCATTCTATTCATTTATAATATGGATGGTTTGCTTTTGTATAAAAATGTTGTATGAACTCAGCCATTGTGGTGTGTAAATCATGATTTCTAGCTTAGTGTGTTGTATGAAACCAATCAGTTGTGACTGTATACTAAGCCATAGTTTAACAAAGTTTGATTTAATAAACTGTGTGAACACGGTTGCCTCTGTTTTTTCTGTTTATATTAAAGCAGAATTTAATGTTGTTGAAGTTTCTCTTCAAGATGAAAAGTGAAAATATTATTTTAACCATTGCTTGTATGTATGTATGTATTTATTATTGACTGTATACTCCATCTTTCTATCTCAAGGCAGCTTACAGTAATAAAAAATTCATATGTTCAAAAGTATGTCCCCAAATGGATTTCTGATTAAATATTTTGCTGTATTGTTGGATTGGTCAAAATTTTCCACAGTTTAATATTACAAAACAAATAGCCATTTTAAATATTGGCCAAAATATTTTGCTGTGCTGCCTAAAACCCTTCATAAGAAAGTAAAGGAAAATAAACACATTTATTTTGAATTAATTGCCTTTATTCAGTCAGAATTTCTCACCTCATTATGTTTTTCCTGGTAAGTCACTGAACAAAAAGCTTGTTTCAGAAACAATTATCCCAACAGGTGATAAAAGCTTGAATATTGAGGATATTCAAATCCAACATAGTTCTTTTTGGAATGAGTTCTATTAACTATTATAGATTGAATGAAATGTTACCTAATTATCAAACTTGCTCAGGAAAATTAGCTTGCTTTTCATGATGCAAGTTGACTTTAGACAAAGTCATAAATGTGAAGTACAATGACCATAATTCACTGGTAGTATAAATAAGATGTTTATTATTTTTTTTAAAAAAAAAGGTCAAAGGGTTTTTTTGGGGGAGGGGATGTATCCATATAACCAGAAGGATAACTGCTGTATATCATCATCAAAATGCTTGAGGCAAGGGAATTCTTATGCTAAAAATGCTAGATGAATTATTCTTTTTATGTGATCATAAAATCACGCAATGCATGATGCCCCTTGACTGAGAATTAAAAGTACATACAGAAATATTATTTAAAAAATTAATAATGGTAGGTGACTTCAGTGTTTGAATTGGCAAAAATCTTTTTTAAAATCTGATGTTTGAAATCAGAAAAGGAACCTTTGTAGTGGTACCCATAAGGCTGCTCTTCTGTTTATGGGCACACTCAACTGAAACTAATTCAGTTTACATATGTTTTTGCACAAGAGGGTGTTAGAAATATATTTCCTTTAAGGAAAGTAATTATGTAGTAAACTGTTTCCAATAATGGTTCCACCCATTGTTGGAATGGGTTCCTGTTTTAATTTATGCAGAAAAATTATCACTGAAACTTTGGAGAGCCACCACATAAAGTAGGGATGAGCAACATGGCTTCTGTAAGCAACATGACACACATGATGCCTCCTTCCAGGTGGTGTTTGTGGAATCCCAAGTTTAAATAAATTTTAAAAATGAATTTAATCTTTTTAAAAGTTTGTAACCTACCAAGATTACCAATTCTTATAAAATTTCAGTGTTGCACGTGACATTTTTGGTGAGAATACTAACCTCTTGTGAGATTTAGTGTTCTTACAACATTTTGGCCATTACATTGGCATGCACATAGTACGTGTGCATACATGGATTGGTACACACACTAAGGACCATTTGCATCCCTTGTGGACTACCAGTGGTCCCTGGCTCAAAGATTAGGAATCATTGGATTACATCATTCACAGAATGATGACAACATTGATGTATGGATAGAAAAATACCATATGTATGATCTTCACATGAGAGTCACTATCAGCCTTCCTTTCTTCAACAGCTTGATCATAGGCCTGCTCACAGAGAATTTTGGGAGATGTCTAACACATCTGGAGGACAGCAGATAGGGGAAAGCTGCCCTATAGATTGTTGTTTTGGTAGCATTGTTTTTTCTGTATGTGTTTTGTCTTTTTTCAAATTTCCCTACCTTCATAACTCCTGTATTACACTTAAATGCATATAATCTTCAGATTAAAAAAGTCTAGGACTATCAGCCAGCACAATGTATTTTATATTGTTTACAATTTTAATTTTCAAACATAAAGGTTAAATAAAGATTCTTATTGGAATTAAAAAGGAAAGAGAAGACTGATTGACTCAATAGTCAATTAAAATCCAATTCTATATAGTATTAATATTTAATTTATTCTAATACAGATGAACAAACAGCAATCCTGCAATTGGAAGTCCAGTCTGTCTCTCTTCATCTGGGGAGCCATTCGTATTTTGATTTGGTGGTGGTTGGCAGAATTGATGATTCATTTTATGTATATGCACGCTATCTACAGTAGCCTTTCACACCTGGAAGCAGTAACTTACTGGACATTAGGTGAGTGTATGTCTTTTTGTGTAGAACTGATTGTTATGTATTCCTGGACTGGCTAGTCCTAATCCAGTGTAGGATCTTTGTCCCCAGTGGGCTCACCAACAACAGAAGGCAACAGAATGGGTTTCATCAACAACTGCATAGGTTTATTGATTCAGAATTCCAAAACAATTGCTTTTTTTATACATTTCTTGGTTTCAGCACAAATGAATTCGAGATATTCACAGGTAATTAACATTGTCTTATCGCTAAGGTAAGCAGTAATGTATCTATGTCCTCACTGGGCTAGTAGGAATGGGTCTGTTTGGCTTCTCATTCTAGGGAGGCTGCATGGTTAGGTTAGAATAGGCTGAATAGTATAGTACAGGAAAAAGTAACCACAGAAATGACAAATGGAACAAAAATATTTAATTATCCTCACCAATTTTCATCCATTTATATTCTCCCTCCACCTAGTGTAGTGCTTGGGTAAATGTAATTTGCCACTCAGAGAATGGCCCACATGACTTTACCAGTTCTTGGATCATTACACTGCACAGCCAACGTGGGTAAGCCATCAGTGGTATCTCAGCAGAAGTGCAGTAGATCTTCTACCACTAAGTGTCTCTCTCTTTCCCTTCCCAACACAGTTTATCATGTTCTTTGCTGGAATCCCCAGCAAAGGGCTGTAGTTCCCGCCTTGTTTTCTATTCTCATGCATACATGCATCACACATACCAGCAAAACATAACCAATGAATAGTTGAATTTACTGGCTCCCTTGCATCTTTTTTATATTGATATTGATTGATTGATTGATTGATTGATTGATTAAATAAATAAATAAATAAATAAATAAATAATTATTACTAAGCTGAACAATATGTTGAACTCTGACCAGCAATTTTGAGTTAGTATCTTCATCCATTAGGATGGGTAGTATATCTTTTGATTACTGGATCTCATTTCTTACCGCTTCCCAGCCACTCAGTGCCCATCTTTGATACCAAAATTCTGGTCTGGAATGGAATGCCTTCCTGTTCATTCTTGCACAACTTCTTTCATTAGTCATGTTTGTAAATTCTGGTGGGAATTTTTATTAAGCTGATTGTTAGTCATGCACTAAATATATTCACACATACTACTTTTTGTTCAAACATGGAAGCTGTAGGTTTGCTCAAGTTCTATGTGACCTTCCATATTTTGTCTCTTAATAGTCAAGGTACTGTTCCAGCATGTATTAAAGAAGTGATAATAAAATGTTGAAGTTTAGCCATATAAGAGTAGTGCTTCTGCTCAGAGTTATACTCAGCCAATATGTAATGGAAGGCATGTGCAAGGAGGATACTGGAATGGAGGATCAAGATTATCAGGAGGGAAGGGGAGCATTCCTGGAGAGGTTATGGGGCAAGTGCTTCCTCAGCCCGCAGCAGGACTGTGAGAAGATGAAGAAGCTGAGACTGGCCCCTCCCTAGAGTTTCCTAGTTATATCCACTAGTTGCTTTAGCATAGGTTTAGTCTGGCGAGATTCTGTCTATTAGGTGCAAGCTAATAAAGGAACTAGACTGGACTGGACTGGACTGCCTTGTCATTCTTGGGCTGGGCCTGACACAATACTTCCAAGCAGACCTAGATCCACTCCCCCATATTTTCTTTGTTTTCATTTCTCTCTCTCTCTCTCTCTCTCTCTCTCTCTCTCTCTCTCTTCTTTTTAAAAAAAATATCTCTTTTGGCTCAATTTCTGTTAACACTTTCAGTGTAGTGTTTAAGGGCCTGACTATTCATTTTGTTCTGTAGAGAAGATGATGTTTTATAGCAGGTATGCTTATATTAAATTCCTTGACCACTTCCATACATGTAAATAGTTTTTACTAAAATTGGGAGACCAACCAGATTTTTTAGCATTCATGTTGGATGTGAGGAGCTGGGTAGAGAGAGGGAAAAGTAGACAGGAGTTTCTATTTTGCTAACTACATACTAATTTCATTTGTTCTTTACCTTTTCTTCTTTTCTTTCCTATAGATAATTATTTAACACCAAGGTTCTAGCCTGAGTGGGGTATTCTCTCTGACTTCAGAAAGCAAAAATTGTGATGCTATTTATTCTCACAATGTGTAATCTGCATTAATTTGATTGTGTGCAATCAAGTCAGTATTGACTCGTAGTGATCATGTAGACAGATTTTCTCCAGGATGATCTGTTCCCAACCTGGCCCTTCAGGTCTTCTAACAGTGCACCAATTGCAGATGTAATCAAGTTCATCCACCTTGCTGATGGTCATCCTCTTCTACTCTTCCATTTATCCTAGCACTACAGACTTCTCAAGGGAGCTGGGTTTTTGTAGGTATAGATACGTTACAGCATCTAAATAACTTTTTCAAGGTCTTCATTGCCCCTACTGAATGCTAGTCTTTGGTGTATTTCTTGATTGTTAGTCCTTTTACTGAAGATACTCACCACTTCAGTATCTTCATTGTCAGTTCTAAGGCTAGTTTTTCTACCTATGGTCGTTAGTTTGGTTTTCTTTATATTTACCCCTAGTCCCATTTTCTCACTGTGCTCCTTGATTTTTATTACTAGAGCTTCCAGATAATTTGTATTTTCAGTTATCAGAGTAGCATCATCAGCATAGTGCAGATTATTGATGATTCTTCCTCCAGTTTTCAAACCACACTCATCCTTCTTCCAATCCAGCTTCCCTTGATATATTCAGCATACAGGTTGAAGAAATATGGAGAGTTTATAGTATTTTCTCACTCCTTTGCTGATCGGGAATCCAGTCTGCTTTGTCATGTTCCATCCAGACTGTGACTTCTTACCTGTGTATAAGTTTCTCATGGTGACAATGAGATGTTCTAGGATTTCCATTTTCCTGAGGATATTCCACAGTGTGATATCTTTGACACAATCAAAGGTCTTTCTATAATAAATGAAGCCCATATTGACTTATTTTTGATATTCTTTTTTTTTCAATTATCTAGCATCCATCAGCAATAACCACCATTATTTTGCTAGCATGTGAAATTAAATATATTGTAGGATAATTAGCACACTCTGATAAGTCTCCCTTCTTTATATAGACTGACCTCTTCCCATCTGTTAGCCACTGTGTTGTTCTCTGGATTTGTGGAGCTAGTTTGGTTAGAACCTTTACTGATTCTTCTGTTGCTTGCCATATTTCTGTAACTATTCCATCAATTCCGGTAGCCTTCTGACTTACTAATGACTGGAGTGGTTACCTAATACTTGGATGTCCTTAGATATGTCATTGTAATAGTGCTTCTTGTCTCTTCTAACAGTTCTCTGAGATTCCTTGTTAAATTTCTTCCTGAGATCTTCTTGTTTTTTTGGCTTTGGTGCCTCTTCTCTTCTTGACAATTTCCACTGTTTGCTTTCTTCTGTTCTGTGATCTTTGGAGAGGTTTTTTTTTTTCACATTCATCCTTAAGAATTTCTTTAATTTCATTCCACAGTTCCTCTGGTTCCCTGTTAATAAGGTTCAGAATTTCAAAGTGATTCCTGATGTTCTCCTTGAAAATTGTGGGTATATGTTCAAGATCATATCTTAGAAACTGATTCGTTTTCTTTTTCCATGTTAATTTGACTTGGAACTTGCACAGAAGCAATTTGTGATTTGTTCCACAGTCAGCCCCTGGGCATATCTTTGCAGTCATAACTGAGCTCTTCCAACTCCTTGTAGCAATAATATCAGTTTGATTTCTGTGTACTCTATCTGGCAACGCCCATATATATAGATGTCATTTTCGGTGTTGGAAGATTGTATTTAGTGATGAAGAAATCATTGGATGGGCAGAAATCATTTTTTTGCTTCATTTTGGATTCCTAGGCTGTGCAACCCAACTATGTTTTCCTCCTTAATAATTTTGGTATTCTGGTCTCCAGACACAAGCAGCACAACTTCTTGCATATTCTGTCAATTTCAGATTGAACCTGATTGTAAAATTCATCAGTCTCCTCTTCTTCTGCATCAGTGCTTGAGCATGAACTTGGATAATCGTATTAAAGGGTTGTCCACAAAGTCTGATTGATAATATTTGGTCATTGACTGCATTGCTCCCAAGTACTGTCCTTGTAATATCCTTCCTGACTATGAAAACAATACCATTACTTCTTTATTTTTCATGTCCTAAGTAGTAAATGGTAAAATATTGTGATTAAAAAGGTCCAATTCTAGTCCATTTCAATTTATAGTGCATCAGTGTGTAGTTGATTTATTTTATTTTTCATAGTGTTGAGTTTTCCCATATTTCTTCCAAGTTCCCACTGTAATTTTTTCTTTGTAGCTTCAGGTTTTCTTTTCCTACGTGGCAACATCAACAACTGGATACCTCAAAGGCTTTAATTTAGCCATGTCATAAACACCATTAGTACTCTGAAAGATCCTCAGCTCTTCCTCAGTAGTATGTTGAGTGCCATTCAAGCTGAGAGGCTCTTCATCTGGCACTATATCATCAATCACTCTATATTTTATATCCATGTGTCTTGGTAAAGTACAGGAGTGGTTTACCCCTGCCTTCTCCCACACAGTATGAAATGATGCCTTTTTCCATTGTCGCTAAAGTAATCATCTGCCTCCCGCATCTTCCTATATCACTGCTGCCCAATATAGGTGCCTGCTTGCTTTAGCTAGGTGGTTGGGATGACCTTTATGCCTTGGGAGTACAAATGTGGCCAAAGGTATTGGTACCTCTCCACTTTTTCCCAAAGAATCCCAATTTGCTGTGAAATAAGTTGAGAGCCAGTTTGGTGTAGTGGTTAAGGCATCAGGCTAGAAACCGGGAGACTCTGAGTTCTAGTCCTGCCTAGGCACAGAGCCAGCTGGGTGACCTTGGGCTAGTCACTTTCTCTCAGCCCTAGGCAATGGCAAACCACTTCTGAAAAACTTTGCCAAGGAAATTGCAGGGACTTGTCCAGGCAGTCTCTGAGACCCAAACACAATCAGACAGATTAAAAAAAAACCTGACAATGTAAATGGCATCCAGCATTCTTTATTCCATGGTCCATA